CTTTTTATTCATTTATTCATGCATATTTTACTAATCACTATCCTCTCAAATGGAAATATGTGTTTACATAAATGGTGACCAAACCATTTGAGACCCACTGAGAACTTAGACTAAGTTAACTATCTAAACACTCAGAGAGTCCTTTACCTCACCTGAGCTGAGGTTATCCCGAGCTTGAATGACACACAGAGACCAATCAAGGGCTTTGATTTATGATCTGTATGACAGTGGCCATGTCGGCAGGCCACATCATGTGGACAGCCAGTCACCCTGTGTGAGGCAGGCCACTTAACAGGCCTGGCCATCGGGAAACCCCCCGGTCCTCCCGATGGCCAGTCCGGGACTTGGTACAGGAGGCGTAGAGCGAGGGATCATTGTCCACAAGTTAATCAATCGCAGATGGCGTCGTGATCACGGACGGAAAAAAAAAAAAAGGAAAAAAAAATATTATTAAAAAAAAACAAAAAACTAAATGGGTCGCGAAATATACTTGGACGACCGTTAATATACCTGGGCGGCCCGCCCAAGTATAGTCTATGTGTGGGAAACCCTGCTGCGTGGGCCCATATCAAACCTGTAATACAGGAAATTATGCAAAACTCGGTCCAAAAGATTGACGCGCTCCAGGTGTTAAGTGACGGTCCAGTCACACAGTATCGAAATTGGGGGCTCAAGCAAATCACTTGGAATTACTCAGAGAGAGCCCACGGTAAGGGTGCACCTGATGGAGTTGGTGGAGCTGTGAAACGGATGGCGGACAACCATGTCCATGGGGGGAAAGACTTACAAAATCCGAAGGACTTGTATGAATTTCTGATCAACAGAGAAGTCGAGAACATCCGATTCAAATGGATTGATGAAAGTGACATTAATGTCTTCAATGAAATGTTGCCACCATCAGTTCCAAAAGTCCCCGGGCTTCTTAAAACACATTTACTACAGGGATCTGAGCTGCTTCTGCCAATACCCAGAGATGTGTGAATGCTTCAACTAGGATGAGGATGGACGATTCTTCGAATGCAAATTCTGATCACCTGCAGCCAGACAGCATCCAGGAGACCTATGCTGAGAGTCCCAGTACTGATGGAGAAGAATGAAGAGTACACTGTGGGAAAGTTTGTCATAGTTAGCTATGACAACAAACTATTTGTTGGTCAAATCACCAAGCTACTTCTTGACCACAATGAAATCAACTGCATGGTTCAGCATGGAAAGAGAAACGTATTCGGGACGGGTGGCGCAGTGGTCTGTGCGTTTGATCATCAGATCAAGGGGGCGTTGGGGAACCCCAGTTCGAAACCCGCTCCCGCCCCACTGCGTCAGGCCGTTGTGTCCTTGGGCAAGACACTTCACCTGAATTTGCTCCTGTGGGTATTGTCCACAGTAGATGACCATTACATGTATGTATCAGGGTTTCCGCTAGGATTTTTTCTCGCCGGTCAAATGTCCGGGCAGAATTTATTTTAACGGACACATTTGAAACTTACCGGTCATATTTCAATAATAATAGTAAGAGTTATGTAGCAGAGTTTCCGTTAGCAGGTAATTACCGGACTATGAGCAGATATGCTGATGTTTAAAACTCAGTTCACGGGGCTCATTTTTATATTGCTTCAGTTTATAATCGTAACAGATCGAAAAATTCAGATTCATTTTTCAATAAATGATTCCACAAACAACAAACAACATAATTATTACATTCAAACAAACTACTTGTAGTAGATGAAGTACATTATTCAAAAATTAACTTTGAATAATAACACGGGAGAAACGGATCCTCTCTTTTCCCCTCTCCCTCCCTCTCTCCTGACAGCCCGTCAGTTTCTCATGCAGCAAGCTAAAACAGTGGGCGGGGCTTCAGGTGATTATGCAGAGCTGCGTGTCTCGGTCAGACTCAGCAGCTGATCTGATCTCTCTCTCGTGTCTGGTTATACTTCACTCGCGTTTATGTCCATATCGATCAGATCCAGCTCTCCTGATCGGCACCGATCAAACTATTAAGAGTGAATATCGGCCGATAATGACCGGCGGCCGATCTATCGAAGCGTCCCTTATTATTACCAGACATTTTGACCGGCAGGTTTTGAATTTACCGGTTTTTAATAAATTTTACCAGCTAAAAACCGGTAATTACCGGCTAACGGAAACCCTGGTATGTATGTGTAATGTGTATTTGTAAAAGCGCTTTGAGAGTCATTGATAAAGCGCTATAATAAATATAAGGATTATATTCAAGTGGCCTAATAAGCCAGACTGCATTTTCTACCGAGAACAAATCGCCAGTGTCATCTCCGAGCCAGAGCCCAACCAGCGTGCTGCACAGCTCACCAAATATGACTGGTTACTATTCAATGAGATCTGAAAGAATGTAGAAACATGATGCGAGTCCCAAGCACCAAAAGCTACAGTCTGAGCTCGTGGACATTGTTTCACCACTCGAGTCAAACTACAGATGTGACTGAATTTTACTTAACAATGAATGTGTTTATCTTTACTGAATGTTTTTATTAATGAGTTTTATCAATTGTTCAATGAATTTGACTGAAAATGAAATTAGTTATCTCTACTGAATGTTACATGAATGAACATGAATGAGTTTTATGGATGAATTGTTTAATGAATTGTTTTGAATATGATTCAAGCTATCCATTGTTATTCACATTTCCGTTTATGTTCATGTTATGATGTTATGATGGCTATTAGCCAATCTTTTTTTTTTTTTTTTAAATAGCACTGTTGATTCTGAGGTTCAGAATATAACCTTAGAGAGTAGAGATGAAATAATAAAGATTTTGTACAAAACTTGGCATATTTTGTAATGGTGTCCATCGGTGTGACAGAATGTCCTGTGGTGCGACAAAAAGAAAAGAAAATAGGCATTTTGGTTCTCAAATGCCTGAGAAAAGTGTTGAATAGAAGAAGAGTAATAGCATCACTATGCATATGTAATAGGGATGGGAATTTGAAAGCAAATGTATATTCGAATATTCGACCCCCAAAAAAATGGTTAACTGATTAACCGAAAAATGTAAACATCCTAGAAACAAAAGACAATGTGGGAAAAATCTTTGCAAAAAAAAAAAAATAAATACATGTTGAAATAAGTATAGAAACCAAGTCGAATTTGTCAAATGTATTGAGCTGGTGATCACAGTTTGAACAGTTGGCCTACAGCTTTCATGCTTAAAACATAACTTGGTTTTTAAATGAAAGAGGGATCAAACACGAACAACATAACGGGTTAGGGTAACGTAACCCTATTACAACAGAGATCAGCAACCTATAACAGGGCCTAAGCACAGAATGCAGCTATTCAATACTCATTCTTGTTTGAGAATATGAGCATGTCTACTCAGGGGAGAGGATTCACAATCAGGCCAGCTGTAGAGAAGACCCTCTCAGCTGGAATTTGGGCCTAAGATGAGGTTTGAGTCTGCGTGATCTGCGTGTAGGGAGGGGCAGCAGCCATATCGTTAGATAGAACTAGCTAGATCTGATGGATTTGGACACAAACGCGAGTGAAGTATAACCGGAGGCGAGAGAGAGATCAGCACCTGCAGCTCTGCCCGCTGTCAGGGACCGGTGAGTGGAGCAAAACACACCTTTAGACCTAACACACTTAGCTATGGCACTGTCGTATACATTGAATTATTCCATTTGATCATATGTAATCAACTTAGGCACCCCTCCTAAAAAAGAAAAAATATATAATAATTTCGAATATTCGATTAATCGTTCCCATCCCTAATATGTAAAGATAGTTTTTAGTTCAATCAGGTTTCATACTTATAATGAAAATAACCCACACTTTTATGAAAAGTCCCTATGTGTAGAGCATTTAGTAGGCAATAACATGATTGTACATTTAAATTGATTACTATTGTTGTAGGCAAATATTTAAAACAAGTTGATAATGGTTGAGCATATATTTCTACTCTGTCTGACAATCTCTGAATTAAATATTATCATTAAACATAATGTCACACCAGGAGACAATTATTAGGACTTCCGCACAGAAAAGTTTATATTATATCAAATAATGAAGGAAATAGATTGGGTCTCACAAAGTTTTGAGTTATTCACGTATTAAGTAATACAGCAGATAAAAGGAAAAAGTCTCAAATAAGAATAGACAGAGACTTGAGATATTAGCTAAATACATTGATAGATACCCACTCTTTACTGTTTCAATAACTGTCTTACATTTTGAAATGATCAAAACATGAAGTCGCTCTGATGTTGTGATCAAGGAATGAAGTAATGTCGCTTAGCTAGACAATTCAACTTATATACTGTGATACATCTGTAAATAACTGTGCAATACACTTCCACTTTCAATACTATCACCTGGCTGTACTCTCACAATTGTAAGTGGTACTGGATGTGTATTTTGTGAATATGTAATTTCTACTTTTACCTTTAATTATTACCTATTTTCTTAGATTGTTAATGTTTGCACCACCAGACACCAAAGCAAATTCCCGTGTAACTGGCAATAAACTTGATTATGAATATTTGATGCATGCTTCATAATTAATATTGACAATGTAAATGTCCCCTCTGTAGGACGAATACATGTATTCTGATTCTGAAGTGTTACAAGTATTTGAACTCCCTGATTGTCCCTATATAAACGCTAACGTTAGCTGCACCGCTAAATCACCTTGCATGTCACCAGACATCAATGCAAATGACAGATGAAGTGCTCAACATAACAAACATATATTTCGCTTCACGTAGGAATATATTTTTAATAGTAAGAGTTCTCTCTAAAATGCGTCTTAGCTGCATCGAGCTCAGTGTGTCATGCTAGCTCTGCTGCTAACGGCTAACCAACTGCCAGGCTTCACTTATCCGCTGACGCTAGGCCTCATTTCATTTTAATCCGTTCTAGTGGTTTTAATCACACCATTTATCCACCTAAATAATAGGAAAATAAAATACACACGTATATAAATCTGTGAAAATGATCAAATAAGGCTGTATGTCTTTAAATGTACCTTATTGTGTTGGTTTATGGCAGACAGGCTCCCCTCTCGTTGTTCAGTTCCGCTGTCAGCGCACGTACGACAACAAAGCAACGTAATCGCTGATTGGACAGTAAGGTGAAAGGGGCGGGATAAGTGCAGCTGTCAATCATTCATCTGAATCAGTGGATCAGAGAGCACATCGACATCTAGCGGTGATCCGATTTAAACCTACTTCAACAGAGAGGATCAATATGTTGTTCACAAAATAAGTCCCAAGATAAATCAGATCGGACATAAAACGGTTAAAGGTAGAGGATATGTCTCTTGTTATTGTCTTTTCTGGTTAAGAACCCTGCAATTCTTTATATGTACCCATCTGTGCCCAAAACTAGACCTATGATGTCTAAAATATCCACAATATTTGTTGTAAATTGTCTAAAAGCTTTAAATCTAGTATGGATATCTCTTGTGCAATTGTAAACCTTTGACATTTGTAGATTAAAAATGAATATTTAATCAATAGTCAAAGTCTGGATTTTAGAAAAAATAAGAAAAAATAACATTGCGTACTAAATCTCTTCAATATGATTTATTTTACACATATATGTGCATCTCTTGCGATATTCAACTTGTTAAAAGTTCAAAGACACCACATACTTGTTTGTGCCCCCTGTTCTATCTGTAATACAGCTATTTTCCATATGGGTTTAGGGCAAGTGGGATATCGAATTCTTATGAAATATAATGAAATATAAAGGAAAACAGTAGTACCATACCCATAAAGACTAAATATACTGCTTTAGAGAAACCCACTTGTCAGCCAAATGGTTTGACCGATGGTGAATATTAAAACTCAATTCAATATTTCAGTTGCAGGCACAAATGGGTTCAATCCAAGAGGGCAACATGAATTAAATCTCGCACAACTCATGTCTGTACTAAGGTGAAAGTGGACTGCAATGTTAAGATGTCACATGCTCAGTATAGTCTGAGGTTACAGTCACATACATGAAATCAAATAAAATCAGGTTTTATTTATATAGCACATTTTTAAAACGATTTTTGGTCAAAGTACTTTACATGATAATACTTCAACTGGATCATTTGTCAGCAGGATGTGTGGAAGTGTGGATTTCATATTCTTGAGCAACAAGATCCATTGTAAAGGGAAAACTTAACTAACCTTAACAATTCTGAAAATAATGGGGCTCCGTTTTGAAAAGTGAATTTGCTTATATCTCCCCCCGAAGTTGAAGAGCACAGACAGACTCTAATAACCATGCCCAAACTTTAGCATTGGTGGCATTCAACTTTGCATGTGAAGACCTTTTTCTAATGTCAGACCTGGAATACCTGACATTCAAATAAAAGTCCTTTGGTAGAAAAAACATAAAACCACATTCAACAAAAGGCTCATTAATTGTAAATGGACAGTCAAGAAAATATGTTATCTTATGTTAGTGTCAATCAAAGTCCTATGTTTGATACATACTGATTTCATTTTCTTAAAACATACATAGAGTTTCAGCAACTTCTACTTAAATGAAAAGACAACATTTTCTGTTTATACATTGTATATTACAAAATACATTTGGTGTGTGTTTAATTATCTGTAATCCCAAACATGTAACAATTGCTCTGTGTATTTTTCTCTCACAACTTTCCAGACGTTCCAGTTGTTAGAGGATTCCATCAAGCTGAATCACATCCATCTGGCAGATGCGTTTATAAATGTGATCTCAGGGAACATCAGACGGTGTCTCTGTGTGTCTGTCTGCGGTGGTTCGGTCCTCTCCTGACTGCTGGTGATTTGACTCTGAGCTGCTGTGATCCCAGTATCTGTGACAGAGCGAGAGAGGAAAGGAAACAGGGATAGATAATGTGAGCTATAAATAACAGCTGTGATCGTTTCTGACAGATGTGGAAAACAGCCTCAACTCACCAGTCTTTGATTCATTGAAGATATATTTTTTTTAACTCTGATTTATCGGAGGTTTTGATACAAGAATTTGTCATTTTTGTGTACTTTTGAATATCAATGTTACCTTTATTTTGATGCTGTTAATGTTGTTGTAATTAGGTAAAACAGGCTAATACTACTTTGTTTCCCTGGGCTGTTCATGCATAATCAAAGACTAAATGCACGCAAGACAGCATCTTCAATAATAAACTTGAACAAATCAATTAGATACAAAATGTAATGTTACAATTAGATGATGATTGTGTTGCAATGTTGTCCTCCTCTATGTGAGGTAGGCTAATCCAGAAGTGATAAATCCACCAAATGTCTTGACTTCTTTCTCTAGATCGTCCTAAGGTAAAAGACACACACAAAAACCAACATGTTTGTACGTAATTTATATAATGCATTCCCTGAATCCTTAACGCAAACCTAATATTAACATTAGCCCTTAGACCAAGTTTTAACCTTTTCACAGTGTTTAAAAAAAGAAAGGAACCACACAAAATGTCCTTATTTTCCGAAAAATGTGCTCACTGTGTCTTAAACTCAAATTAAAATGCTCAAAACCTTCTGTTATTTAACTTTTCTGTTATTGTAATTTTACTGTCAATGATCCTGGTTCTTACACTGAACACAACCCACATCTTTGAAACTTTAAATATGTATTTTTTAACGTCTAAATATAAGCATTTGCCATCCATAATTCCATTTTTACAGCAGACATTTAACTTGTTATTGTAAGAAAAGCACAGGTGTTGCTAATACAATTTTAATAATGACTCAAACACCAGCACTGTATCACACTGCTGCTCTATCACGGCACCCGGCTTGTCCTCCTGTTTCTATCCTAAGCTTTTGTGTCTGAATTAGATTTGTTCATGTTTTACATGTCCCATTTGTCCACCGCACAAACGAAACTCCCCACGGAAAATAAAGCAATTTGCATTTGAATTGGTTCTATTAAAGTGTGCCCGTAAGTCATCGCAGTTTGACAGCGAGCCAACATGCAAAATAACAAGACCCTGAAACTGAACTTGAAGCAGCTGGAATGAAGTTAGACATAATCAGTGTTATTATCCACACCTGTGACTTTTTTACTACAACAGGTGAAATATCTGCTGTGAAAAAAAGCCTGCTGTTTTAGATCACTGAACTCAAGGTATGTAGGTATTAAATAAATGTTTTATTTATTGTTTTATATAAGCATCTATGTTGAATTGCTTTTAATTATTGTATGTATTTGTTATTATATGTTTTTCAGGGTGACTTGTAACATCTGTCCAGGGACAATAGATGAAAACTACCCTGTTGGCTAAACTCTTTACAGAAATGTTTATTAATGTGCTCTGTACATGTTAAATAAACTCAGATAAAAGAGGTATACTTTCAAATTAAACCAGGAAATCAGATTGAGATAAGACCTTAGCCATTTGAGCCAAAAAGGGTTGAATAGCATGCAGCATACACTTGCTAGGACTACATTAGCATGCAACAGCAACAATATGGACAACAAAAACAAATTCAATTCAATTCAAAACCTTTATTTATCCAGGTGAAATCCCATTGAGATCAATTATCTCTTTTTCAAGGGAGACCTGCAGCAGTAGGTTCCACATGAAGACATAAAAACATAAACAACAGAACAACAAAAGGACATCATACAGCAACATGTACAGGGATTACAATTTACATATCTATCCACAAGTACAGCTACCAACAGCATCTGATTTTGTAGCATCCAACCGAGCTTTAAAAACATGTAGTGGTACTAGCTTGGTAATTTTCCATTCTTTTTGCAGACTGTTCCATGTTAGTGGAGCTGCACATCTAAAAGCTTTCTTCCCTAAGACAGTCCTAGCACTTGGCACATTTAATAAAACCACAGCATGCGATCTCAGGCAATAAGTACTTTCAATTCGCAGAGAGATCAGGGAGCAGATATAAGATGGTAGTTTATCCAACATGGCTTTGTAAATGAAAAAGTACCAGTGACTGAGCCTCCGTACAGTAAGTGATGGCATAACCGCCTTGGTATACAGGGTACAGTGATGCGTAAGTGCTTTACAATTTGTCAAAAATCTCAGTGCACTGTGATACGCAGCATCTAACTTGCTCAGGTAATTGGCAGGTGCATTCATATATAACAAATCACCATAGTCCAGCACAGGTAAAAAGGTCACAGTGACTAGCCTTTTCCTGGCCTCAAGCGAGAAACAGGACTTGTTCCTGTAGAAGAAACCTAGTCTAACCCTCAGCTTTTTAAGCAGATTATTGACATGAAATTGACATAAAAGTGAGACAATCATCAAGCCAGATACCAAGGTATTTGTAACAGGTAACCACTTCAATTTTTATTCCTTGCGTAGTTACAATATCTAAAGCAGTCTCTGGTGTCTTTTTAGCTTTAGAAAAGAGCATTACCTTGGTTTTATCCACATTTAAAAGAAGCTTTAGTTCAGAGAGCTGAGCCTGAATAATGTTAAAAACAGCCTGTAATTTAACACCAGCCTCGTTAATCGAGGGACCTGCACAGTACATCACGGTATCGTCCGCATAAAAATGTAAGGTTGCTCCTTCGACATTTTCACCTAAACTATTGATGTAGATGGAGAATAATAGTGGACCTAAAACTGAACCTTGTGGTACACCATTAGTGATGTTTAACCACTCAGAAGACAGCCCATCAAAATGAACACATTGGGACCTTTCAGAGAGGTAGTTTACAAACCACCCACTGCATGGCTGGATATGCCTATACTGAGTAGCCTCTGCTTTAAAATGCGATGATCGACGGTGTCAAACTCTTTGGAAAGGTCAACAAATAGAGCTGCACAACTCTGCTTATTGTCTAAAATACTCGTAATATCATTCACCACTTTCATTGTGGCAGTGATGGTGCTATGTTGCTTTCTGAAGCCTGACTGATGTTTAGACAGGATATCATTTATACATAAAAACTCCTTTACCTGTTCACTCACTAAGCATTCAAGAACCTTGGCCAGAACTGACAATTTGGAAATGGGTCTATAATTGTTTAATAAGGTGGCCTCCCCTCCTTTTAGTAGAGGAAGGATATAAGCTGACTTCCATACTTTTGGAATTGTATTTGTGCTGAGAGAGAGGTTAAAAAGAGAATTGAGAGGTGGAGCAATACAATCTGCAGCTATCTTTAAAAAGA